TCTATCTATCTATCTATCTATCTATCTATCTATCTATCTATCTATCTCTGTCTTTGAAAAATCCTCTCAGTACAGCACTACCCATAGGCTTTGTGAAACTTTGTCTTTTTCCTGTGTGTCTGTGTATGCGTTCATGGGTTAACATGTCCTATGTGCATGTATGTGCCCATGGAAACCAGAAGAGGGCATGTGTCCCCAGGTACTAGAGTTACAGGTGGTTGTGAGATGCTTATGGTCGCAAGAGCAACTACAGCTCTGAAGTGCTGAGTCATCTCACTAGCTCCTGCTTTGCCACTCTTTGAAGCTCTTCTCCTCGTTGATAATATAACTAGCTTGTGTCTACTGCAAAGTCATATGATATATACATCAGCTAAGAAACAAGGAACAAAGCCTACCACAGCCCCACTCCCATGAGGAAACACTACGTCTGGGAACCATGTCCTCCCATGTCTTTGAAAAGCGTATTTCCATTTTTTAAAGTAAAAATGGGACTCTCTTGTAAATAGTGATTCCTAACTTGTTCTCTTACTCCAAGAGTGCAAAGCACAAATCAATGAAGTTACTCTTACCACTTTTAATTGCTGTATAGTTCTCCGCCGTCTAGCCAGGTCAGAATTGTTTAGTCTGTCTTCTCTCGTAAGATGTGCAGGCTGTTTGCCTTCAGAAGCAATTGGGTGATTTTGCCCAGGTACCTCCTCATCTGTCAGGAATGTTCTCTTGCAGGATGCTTACCTGCAGATGTTAGATCTAAGGGAAGGCTCCCTCCTAAAGCACCTAGAAGGCCTCAATGAACAGTCTTTCTGCAAGGCTTTCACCATGGGTTTCCCACCAGCTTTATCTGAGGGGACCCATTTTCCCATCATTTCTTAGCATTTCGTTTTACTTACAAAAGATCTTAAGGGGGAATTAATTTCAAAGCAGGATAATATTCTGATGAGTATTTCTCCAAACCGGGTCCTTAAAAAAGGCAGCTTTTATATAAAGTATAATTAATTAAATCATCTTTTTAAATGTTGACCTGGTATCAACTTCTGTCTAATGAAGTTGTGGATTGTATGATTTATCCAATGTCTGGTTAAGACTAATAAAAAGGTGAAAGAGAAAGTCACTATTTGTATTCCCTGGATACACCACCACTAAGATCCTGCTGTGAGCATAAAGGAGTCAAAGCCACTAGCAGGGAAGGAATTCAGTTGTTAAAATCAACTGCCAGTGACACAAATAGTAACAATTTTTTAAAGTCCCTGTTCTTTCTTTTTTCTCAATTTTAAGTTATAGTTTTATTTATTTATCTGTGGTGGCGGGGGCCATACACACACCACTGCACACACATGGAAGTCTGAGCATAATTAGGGGTCTGTTCTCTGCTCCCTGCATGGGGATTCTGGAGCTCCAGCTCAGTCCACCAGAGTTGGCTCCTTTAATTGCCGAGCTCTCTGGTTACTCCCATTTACTGTCAAATGTTTGCTGTGACTCAGGAATCTGGGGGCTAGAGACGACTGACCAGCCCGGAGAGTCGGAACGATTTGTTCCAATCCACACAACTAGCCAGGGTTACGTTCCTCAGAGCCCTCACCATGCCACTGTGCCAAGTGGCCCCTACCAATGTAGAGATGAACTCAGTTGCCGGGACTCTCCCAACCTGGACAGGCACCACTACAGCTTTGACGATGGATGACCTGGTCCTCAGTGTGGAGCTGTTGAGAGGTGGAGCCCAGCAGGAGGTCTCTGGGTCGTTGGGTGCATACCCTTCTCCCTTTCGCGTCCCAGTCATGAAGTGATCCATTTCACCATACCACACACCCCAACCCTGATACAGCTCCAAAGCAAAACAGGGCCAAGCGCCACAGCCCAGAGCCTCCCAAACCATAAATTGATTATCTCGGGGTCCAGGGGCTCTGTTATCAGACTCTAGCTGGAACAACTGTGTTAATGTCCCCTTTCCTGTCATCTCCTGCCTTCCCAGCAGGTCACAGAGAAGACAGTGGTGAAGAACATCCGGTATATAGACAAGGAAATAATGAACCTCAAAAAGGATCTTACTCGAAGCCGGTGAGTGAGCCCTGTAAGGAATGACTTGTGAGCCAAACGGACCCTGCAGCAGGACTGGGGACGGGGCAGGGAGGGGGGATGTCCCTAGACATCCACTGGAATACTTCCAAGGATGTGACCCTGGAAAGATCAGAGACAGGGATCTGCTTTGGTTTTACGTCTCAGGGAGAATTAGAGGCCCCCATCAACCCCAACGGGCATTTGTGTGGATTTCTGAGGTCCTCACACTTGGTGGCAAACTCTTTCACAGCTGAGCCATCTTCTTGGCCCCTAGATAAACCTTTTTCCTCTCTTCTCCCCTTAGCTCTCTTCAGAGAACTAGCAGGAGAATGAAACAGGTCTTTGGGTTTAACAACTCAGGGTGGAGTGAGAGGTGGTGACCCCTCTCATCCATTTGCTTTGGCATAAAACACTCACGGTGTGAGCACAGGGTGGTGATCTCAGACGCTGCCCCTCCACGCTGGACCACGAGGAGGGCACAGTCACCTTCCTCCACCCCTCATCACCTGGAAGGTTCCCTGCCTCTGTCCTGCAGCGAGGACTGATGTTGAGCCCAAATGCAGGATGGAAGGGAGGGGGTGGCAAATAGATAATGGAGCTAAGCAGGGGGACAAGGAAGGACCCCAAGAGCAACATTTTCATCTGAGGGGTGGCCCTGCCTGCTCTCCAGGGGCCATGCCATGACGTAATCTTTCAGTTTGTGACTATCCACACTAGAAAAGGAACAGATGGAAGCAATTCCAGTAATGTTTTACTTAACCCAAAATACTATCACTCAAATTGTATTCAATAAAAAAAAATGGCATTTAGAGCTAGAGACATAGCTAAGTTAGTGTGATGTTTCGCTTTGATTGTCTGCTAACTCAGTGTGAAATCACTTAGGAAGAAAATATCAACGGATCTCAAGAGTGTCTCATCTGTCTAGAGTGGGTCAGCCTGTGACCGTGCCTGTGCGGGTCAGTGTGCGGGTCAGCCCATGCCTGTGCGGGTCAGCCCGTGATCGTAGCCTGTGCGGGTCAGCCCGTGACCGTGCCTGTGTGGGTCAGCCCATGACTGTGCCTGTGCAGGTCAGCCTATGCCTGTGCAGGTCAGCCCATGACCAAGCCTGTGCGGGTCAGTCCGTGACCATGCCTGTGCAGGTCAGCCTATGCCTGTGCGGGTCAGCCCGTGACCGTGCCTGTGTGGGTCAGTCCGTGACCGTGCCTGTGAGGGTCAGCCCATGACCAAGCCTGTGCGGGTCAGCCCGTGACCGAGTCTGTGCAGATCAGCCCATGCCTGTGAAGATCAGCCCATGACCGTGCCTGTGCGGGTCAGCCCATGACCAGCCTGTGCGGATCAGCCCATGACCGTGCCTGTGCGGGTCAGCCCGTGACCAAGCCTGTAAAGGTTTTTTTCTTGAGATAATTGAGGTTAGAAGATCACCCTGACTGTGTGCAGCATTACCCATGGTCTGGGCCCTGGAATAAATGACAAGGGAAGAGTAAAATGAACAGTAAGCTTGCATGCATTCATTTCTCTCTGCCTATGACTGTGGATGTCATGTGACTAGTCGCTTCAAGTCCCTGCCTTGACTTTCCCAAAAAACAACAGACTATAGCCTGGGGCTATGAGCCAGATAACCCCTTTCCTCCCCCAAGTTGCTTTCTGTTAGTGTTTTGTTACAGCCAGCCACAAAGAGCCAACTAGAACATTCTACAAGATGAAGGTGGAGAAATGAAGAACAATGAACGACTTAGAGGCCACCGTGTGGCTCCCAGCTGAAGCACACAGCACTAATGTGCACCAGTCAGGTTTCAAGTGTCTGTCTTCCCTGGGAATGAATTACTCCTGCCACCCTTACCCTGGAGAGAAAGTTCTGGTGTTGAAGCCCTGTTGACTTTATTTGAAACAGGGGCCACTAAAGAGGGAATTGGGGTTAAATGAGGTCAAGAGTGTCCTTATCCGGTCTGTGCTCTTAAGAGAAGACGGGAAACGTCAGAAATTCATGCACAGAACCACATGAGGACAAAGCGAGCAGGTGGTCACCCAGCAAACCAGGAAGTTTTTCCAGGACACACCCAGCCTGCCCATGCCACGGTCTTGGACTTCAGCCTCCACAGCTGTGGGAAAACAGCGCACACAGCCCCTGGTGCTCTGTGAAGGCAGCCCCGCAGTTCAGTGGCATCACGATTGGTGCTGCAGTTCCGCAGGTGATGTACCCAGCTTGGGGCCAACCAACAGGCGGCCTGTGAACTCGATTCTCTGAATCTAGGGTTAAGACGTATTGGCCGTGTCTGAAGTCATGTTATGAGGGCTTTTGTGGCTGGTGCTTTGGGAACCACGAGGCCCTGGAGACCAGCGAGAGGTAAGATAGAGAAGCCAAGACTCCCCGGCAGAAGCTGTAGCAGGGAGAATAAAGAGGATTTTGTGGTTGAGGAAGATTATCCCAAAAGAGCCTTGCTCTAAGTTCCTCCATGGTGCCACGTGTAAGATATCCCAGGCTTTACAGGATGTTAGGTCCAACAGGATGTTGGGTCCCAAAGACCCATCACAGAATTGATTGATCCTTGTGCACACCATTATATCCATGTCCATCTTTTAAGATTTCATTTTATTTTCAAATATGTGCATTTGTTCTTGTGAGTACGGGGCCTTCAGGCACCGGAAGAGGGCGATCAGATCCCATGGAGCTGGAGTTACAAACAACTGCGACTTGGGTGTTAGGAACCAAACTCAGGTCCTCTGCAAGAGCAGCTGCATGCTCTTGATTGCTGAGCCCAACCATGCCTTTTCTTACCAGCAGATGCAACTCAGAGGCCCCTGGAAGAGGACATCAAAGTGAGGTTTCCCACAATCATCCATGCATTTCCCAGTAGCAGCTGGTAGTGCCACAGATGTCTGTGGGTGCCTGGATCTGTGTGAGTCGAAGATTCCTGCCAAAACCAGGGTGACCCAGGCTCAGGAGGCTGACAAGCATGGCTGAACCAACTTGCACCTAGAACCCATCATTAAATTTTCAGGAAATGTGC